GGAACTTTCCAACGGTTTGATAGAAAAATCAATTAACAGACACGGGAGAGATTTTTTTGACTACATAATAATTATAATGCAATAGATACAAAGATATTTGAAATTTAAAATATGAAAAGAAATCAAATTGCTTTTGAAAACATTCAGAAAATATCTTCAAGCAGGGTGCAAAGCTTTCAATTTGTTGGATTGTTTAAATGAAATTACATCATCACCATCAATCCAGTTTTCAAGTATGGAGTTAGAAGAAGAAGCAGGTCTTTACCATGGTCAGGTACAGTCTAGCAGGAAGGAAAACTTAATAGGTTGGTGGTAGCTTCATCCATTTGCGTTCCTGTGACAGAATACCACAGTCTGGGTAGTTTATAAAGGACAGACATTTATTTCTCAAAGTTCTGGAGTTTGGAAAGTGTGAGGTCAAGGTGCTGGCAGGATCTGTGAGGGCTGCTCTCTTCTTCCAAGATGGCGCCTTGAAGGTTGAGTGCTGGAGTAGTGGCAGCTGGAAGGGCAAGCCAGCCACATGCTGTGTGAAGCCTCTTGTAAGGGCTCAATTCTATTCCTGAGGGAGGTACCCTTCTGGCCCAATCCCTTCTTAAATACCCTGCTTCTTGATACTATCACTTTGGTAACACCTGAATTTTGGGGGGACATATAACAGTCATAGCAGATGGCCACATCATTATCAGGGATGTCCCATCCTGGCAGAGCCAACCAAACAAACCTCTTAGTGCCACATTAGAATATTTGGAAGAGCGTCTCCTCAGTATCCAGATGTTCACGTGAGCCATCCCAGGAGCGGTCCAGCAGGTGATGGTGCTAAGGAGTTAATGCTCCTAAATAAGAAAAGTCAAATTGAAATAATTGGTTTGTAAAATAATAATAAAATTGAAGTAATAATTAAACTCTTGGGGAAAATTTCAAGATTTATTCTTGTGTCATGATGGCAGTTTATTCTAGGATAGTAATATTGAGCTCTAGCTGTTGATTATAACACTCAAGTCATCTGGCCAAATGTGGGTTTTAGTACTACTTTACTCTTCATTTATTTATTTTCTTTCAATTGAGGTAAAAGTCGTATAACATAAAATTAACCTTTTTATTAATTTTTTTTCAAGAGTTAACATACGATCTATTCTCAACAAATTTAATTTTGGCGGAGTACAGGGGATTGAACCAAGGGGCACTCCACCACTGAGCCCCATCCCAGCCCTATTTTGTATTTTATTTAGAGACAGGGTCTCACCGAGATGCTTAGGGCCTTGCTTTTGCTGAGGCTGGCTTTGAACTTTTGATCCTCCTGCCTCAGCTCCCGAGCTGCTGGGATTACAGGCATATGCCACCATGTCTGGCTCAACAAATTTTTAAGTGTACAGTAGAAAATTAACCATTTTCAAGTGAACAGTTCAGTGGCATTTGGTACATTCACAGTGTCATGCAGCTGCTCCTCTGCTGGTTATAAAACATTTTTATCACCCCAAAAGGAGACCTTATACCCACAAACCTTTTCCTGAGCCCCTAGCTTTCTGTTTCTTTGGAACCACCTACCCTGGGTTTTTCCTATAAATGGAATCATAAAATGTGTGACCTTTTGTGTCCATCTACTTTGATTGGGCATACTGTCTTGGAGGTTCATCACACTGTGGCATGGATCAGTACGCCTTCCCTTTTGTGGCTGAATAATACTCCATTGTATGAACATATCACATTGTGTTTATCCTTTTACCTGCTGATGGACATTGGGCAGTTTCCACCTTTGACTGTAGTGAACAGTGCTTCTGTGAACACAAGTGTGCAGGTTTCTGCATCCCTGTTTTCAGTTCTCTTGGGTTTGTATCTAGGAGTGGATTTGCTGGATTATCTGATAATCTTTTGTTTGAATTTTTAAGGAACTGTCAAACCGTTTCTCTCCTTTCTCTTCACACCAGGCTGTGCACAGGTGTGGTTCACTGAGCCAGAAGTTCCTAGTTTCTTTTTCTTTTTTTTATTAGTTGCTCAAAGCATTACAATGATCTTGACATATCATACATTTGATTCAAGTGGGGTATGAATTCTTTTTTTTCCACGTGTACAGATTGCAGTATCACATTGGTTTTACAGCCACATTTATACATACAGCCATATTAGTGTCTATTGTATTCTGCTACCCTTCCTATTCCTCCCTCCCCTCCCTTCCCCTCCCATCACCTCTCTCTACCCACTCTATGACACTTTTCTCTCTTTCTCTCTCTCTCTCTTTTTTTTTCTTCCTGTTATGCAAAATTACATAGCAGAAGTTCCTAGTTCTTTGAATAGCTCCAGCAGTAGCCTGGGGTAGCACTGAGCCATCGATTCCATCAGATCCATTCCTCTCAGGTCTGGCTTGCAGGCGTCCTTCCACCTTTGCAGATCCAATGAAGACAATCAGAAGTCTGCTATAGGAAGGACTTATCTGGCCTCACAGCACCAGCTCTTTGGGGACGTTGACCCTTGCATTCATGAGTAGCTGTTCAGGCTGAGCTTGTGCAAGACTCTGTTCTTGGGGCTTGGTGTTTATTTGTGAGCCAAGCAAAGTCCTTGTCTCGGGAGCTTATATTCCAAGCCAAGAGGCAACAATAGACAATGAAGGGAAGAGGGCAGTCGGGGAAGCTGTTTAACTTTAATTTAAAAAAATTCTGTTTAACTAGAGTTGTGCTGTGTCTTTTAATTCTGTAGTTTATTGCTTTTTTTTTTTCTTTTTCTGAGACACATCTCTGGCAAGACTTGCAACTTACTGATTTTTTTCCATAGGACTTTTGTTAGTTGTTTCATGTATTCTGCATCTCATTGATTTCTGCCCTAATATTTATTATTTTCCTCAAATTTCTCCCAGCTGGTTGTGTTATCCTTACTCCAGTATTTTAGATTGAATGCTTAACTTATTTCTTTTCTGACTTTTCTGGTTTCCTGACAGATGTATGTAATATTGTATACTCCTCTTTTTTTTTTTTTAGTTGTAGTTGAACACAATACTTTTATTTTATTTATTTTTTTGTGGTGCTGAGGATTGAACCCAGAGCTTACATGTGCTAGGTGAGCACTCTACCACTGTGCCACAACCCCAGCCCTTTACACTCCCTTTTTAAAAATTTTTTTTTAAGTTTAGCAGATGGACGCAATACCTTTATTTTATTTATTTATATGTGGCATTGAGGATTGAACCCAATGCTTCACATGTGTGATACGAGTGCTCTACCACTGAACCACAACTCTAGCCCCTGTACACTCCCTTTGAGGTGCTATTTACCCACCTCCCACCAGTTTTGACATGTAACATTTTCATTGTTCAGTTCTAGATATTTCCAAGAGTCATTTAGCAATATCTAATGTATCTAGTAAATTTCCCAACATTTTAAAATCTATTTTTAAATGAATTTCTAGTTTCTGTGGTTGGATAACCTGTTCTGTATCATAATATATGTTGGCATGTACTGAGGAAATACATGCAAGTCTATTTGTATAAATGTTCCATGTGCACTCTAAGAGAAAGGACTTCCTGGCTGGGTATTGAATTCTCTATGTATCTGTTAGCTTGGAGATAGCTCTCTTTAAAAAAGATGTATTTGAGCTGATAGCTGGATGTCAGGAAAGAGCCTTTTTTTTTTTTCTGAAAAATCTCAGGGAAAAGTATTCCAGGCAGAGAGAATAGCAAATGCAAAGGCCCTGAGGTGGGGAAGAGCTTGATATGTTCTAGGAAGAGAAAGAAGGTCAAGTATGAAAGGAGCATAGTGGGTCAGGAGCAGGGGTGTGAGCTGAGGTCCTGAGGAGTAGTCAGAGGTGATCAAATTGGGCCTTCAAGGTCACGGCGTGGACTTTGATTTTACCTAACACAGTGCACCCATTTACTAGGTGGTATGCTAAGCAGTTTTCATGAGCTTAATGTCAAGTACACATTGATCTCATTTTATACAGTGAAGAGAGCATCTTGGGATTAAGAGTACTCAATCCTTTCCTCTTGCAAACAGGAAAGATAAGATGAGTTCTAGAGTGGTCTCAGCTTCCTAGCTGGGCTGTGAACATCCCTCTGTCTCTTTGGTAGAGAAGGTCCTAAAAAAGGAGACTTGATTTTTATAATTTTTCAAATGCTATTGAAAGGACTCTTACCTTGTTATGAGTCCCTTTGTAAAGCAAAACCCACTCACCCCCATCCATTACTTATTCTGCAACTCGCTCTAGATAAGCTTACCTAAAGTGGGTTTCCCACAGGGACACCCTGCCTTCTAAAGCGCTCTGCTGTCTAGCCTCTCGCCCTTTGCTTGTTGTCTACATTGGCTCTGCTTCTGTGAGGCAGCTCCTTCAGCCCTTGCTGAGTTCCCTTAGGTGCCACCTTCCCTTCCAGGACAACTTGTTCCAGCCCTTTTCTGATGGGGCCTCTGTGACACTTTCAAAAGCCTCCACCTGGCACAGTACTCACAGTAATTACCAGTAAGTTGCCTGCGATGGCAGGTTTCCCACACACCCTCCTTGGAGGCAGAGCCCCATTGCTCTCAGGGTGACACGGGAGCTAATAACACAAGTGAAACAGCAAGCAAAGGCTGCGTCCAGGGGCTATGCTGGGCAATCCTCCAACTCTGGCTGGCACAGGGGCTGGCGCCCTCCCACACGCAAGCCTGCTTCATGTCCTCGTGCTTTAGCGCTTTGACTAAAGCTGTATGCAGACCTGTTGCCCTCAGGTCAGCAGAAATAGTGCAGTGGTGGTAAAGTCAGGGCCTCAGGCAGGGTCAGGCCTTGCGTTTCACCCTAAGAAAGCCAAAGGTTAGATTTATACCCATCACCCACTGGCTTATGCCTTCTTGTTGGCAAATTCTCCTGGTTTTCTGGTCATGTTGGGTTTCTGGAATATTTTCTTAACAAGATATGTTAATATGCCTTAAGGACACAAGGAAATATGACCAGCAAACTGACCCAAGCCTGCAATTGAGACAGACTAAAAGACTGCAAAACAGTATCTTTTTCTTATTACATAAAATGTCAAAATCTCACAATTGTCAAAGCAATAAAGGGTTTCTTTTTTTTAATTTAAAAAAATTGTGGTAAATGTACATGACATGAAATTACAATTCTAACCATTTTAAAGTATACAATTTAGTGCCATTAAATATATTCACAGTATTGCACAACCATCACCGTTGTCCATTTCCAGAACTTTTTCATCATCCCAAACAGGAGCTCTGTAACCATACTAACTCGTGGCTGGGGATGGAGCTCAGTGGTAGTGCTTGCCTAGCATACATGTGGCCCTGGGTTCAATCCCCTGTCTGTAAAACAATAGTAACTCCCAACAAAAGAGTAACTCCCAACCCATTTCCCTCCACCTTTGATCATCTCTGTTCAAACCTTCTGCCTCTCTGAATTTGTTTGTTGTAGATAGTTCATATCAGTGAAATCATACCATATTTGTCTTTTTTGAATCTTGCTGATTTCACTTAGCATTTTTTCAAGGTTCATTCATGCCGTAGCATGTCTCAGAACCCCGTTCTTTTCTTTTAGAGGGGTATGAGGATTGAACCCAGGACCTGCTAGGCAAGCACTCCCTAAGTGAGCTTACATCCCCACCTCTTTTAAATTTTATTTTGAGACAGGGTCTTGCTGTCAGACTGGTCTAGAATTTGTGGTATTCCTGCCTCAGCTTCCCAGGTAACTGAGATTTCAGCTGTGCCCCACTGTGCCCAGCTAGAACCTTGTTCCTTTTTATGGTCAAGTAACATTCCACTCCGTGGATGGACTTCATTTTGTGATCCATTAATCTGTTGAGTTGTTTCCACCTTTAGGCTGGTGTCCATATGCTGCTGTGAACACTCAGCTACAGGTCCCTATTTGCTTGCTCTCAGTTCCTCAGGGCATATGTCCAGAAATGAAGTTGATGAACCATGTGGCAATTCTGTGCTCAACCTTTTGATGAACTGCCAAACTCAAGCATTAGATTTTGTATTCAAAATATATTTGTTACAATTAAGGAAAAGAGAAATATAGTGCTAGTCCCATGTCAGGTCTTGTTGAGCTACCTGTCCCAAATCACAAAGGGGAAAACTCAAAAGATGGCTTTTAAGTTGAATTTCTGGATTTTAGAAAATGCTACTAACCTTTTCTGACATCTCTGAAAGACTGATTTGTATTTATCCATGATATATTTCAATGAGGAGCTAGGTGATTCTCGTCTTCCTTAATTGTGCATTCAGGGTTAAAGGTTTTTAACAACTATCATTGCAGGAAAATTAAAAAACAAAACAAACAAGAAAAACAGAGTTCTAATTAAGGCTCACAGTCTTCTCAAGCCAGAAGGGTCATCGTGTTGTGTTCTGCCTCGAACATCCTAATTGCCCTTTAGTGGCATCATGTTTAATAGCTGTGTACTCCTCTGTTACGTGGAAGTGTCTTCATTTATTTAACCAACTTCTTACTGTTGGACTTTTGGGAAATTTTAAAAGTAATTTTCCAGCTTCTTCCCTTCATCTCCATCACTAACACTAATTCAGTGGTCCACGGGGCTCACCAGTCACTCCCATGTGATCCCAGCAGACTTCTGATAGACCATCATCCCCACGGTTGTCTGAAGTCACTGCTTTCCTCCAGTCCCCTGTCAGCCCAGGAATGGCCTTTGGCAACTTTGTAACAGGCTCAAGTACCTCAGCCCTTTTCTTTTGAAGGTTTCCCAGTCTGTCCCTCTTTAGCCCTCGCCCACAGTTTTCCCATCCTGGAGCAGACTCGGGTCCATGTGTGTTTGCATTTACTCTGCCATTTCTTTCTGGGCCTGGCTCATGCTACTGGCCTATTAGACATGCGTCTGCCCATCCTGCTGAATGTCCCGGGCTCCTCAGCTGGCGAGGCTGCGCTCACATTTCATAGGCTTTCCAGAGCTGCTGAGATCATGCTTGACTGTGTGGATTTCACCTTTCTTTGAGCTTCTGTTTTGGTGACAGGGAATCATGTAGTCTATGAGGCAGTAAGAAGAGCACCATGCCTATGCTCTCAGCGGAACTTAGAAGGCAGGGACCATGTCTTAAACATGCAAGCACTCTGGCATCTCACTGTTCCTGGGGCACACTTGTTTCTTTCCCACTTCGCCTTTTCTGTCCCTTTGTCCAGAATGCCCTTCCTCCAGTTTGTCACAGCTGGCTCCTTCCTGATATTCACATCAGGCGTAAAGGTCCCTTCTTTGGAGAGTGTCCCTGACCCTGACCCAGGTAACTCCATCGTTCCTGTCATGCACCTGCTCATTTCGTGAAATTCTTGGTCTCTGGCTATCCTCACCCCCAATTCCTTAAGCGTGGATTGCCATCTGCCCCACTAGGCGAGGGAGGGCCTGGCCTGCTCTCCTCTTTATCCCTAGCACTGACGAGGGCCAGGGTGTCAGTCAGTGTTTGCTGAAGGAACTGATAATATTGATAGAATGGGGAGGAGGAGAGGGATGGCGGTGCTATGCTCTGCATTTTTGGTTGGGAAATTGAGCCAATGGCAGTTGTACTACAAACTGCGACTTGGAAGTTCTGGAAGTGCATACGAGGGTGGGGTGAAGGAGCAGACACCGTGCTTTCTCTCTCCTGCCTGTTCAAGATGCCTCTAAACTATTTGAGTAGAATATCCAGAGCTGGCTAGATGTATGAGTCTGCAGCTCCCGAGTGGCCTTTGGATACCATCTAGATAATAAGCGCTCACATGGTTAGACATGATGAGCCACCCGAGGCTCCATGCTAGGTGGCCAAGCCAGGATTTGAGCCAGGAGGCCTGTGTCCAGTGTCCACTGTACTCGTGTGTTCACATAAGCATGTAGGGGACACAAAATCAAGATGAGTTCTTGGCCAATGGGAGCTTCTCATTTGCTGGAGGAAATAAAATGTCAACCCCTGTGACCCCACACTAACAGGCTCTCATCAGGCCCTGTCAGTTTGCGTTGACCCTTATCCAAGCTGGTCCAGTGTAACTGTTACTTGGTTAAAATGGCAAGTCACCTTGTCGGCCACCTCTTCTCTTCCTCTGATGCAGGTAGACTCAGGCTCGCGTGACCTTGATAATTCATTAAAAGAGCCCAGGATGTTAGGAAGGCAGAATCCTCCCTATGGATTCTCACTTATTAGGAAATGTGATTCATAACCCTCTAGGACTGAGAAATAGGAGACCAAAGGGGCAAGAGGAGAGTGGTTTCCAAGTCCATTCAGAAGAGAGGAGTGGAATCAGGACCTCCAGGATTCCCAGGATGACTGACAAGTCTCGGGACTTGAATATGGGCTGAGACACATAAAAGCAGCAGAGAGTCACGCCCCCAGGGGCGCAGATGGATCATTTCAGCGAGACCACGGTTCCTCGTTGGCTTTGTGCTGTCAATGCCTGGGCAGAGGCAGGCCCAGCTTCTGATTTTTGAGGGCTCCTGGTTGGCCTGGACTCAAGGATGTTTTAATCACTCTTCTCACCCCACTGGTGAGGAGGAGGAGGGACCCACCCTGGGGTTTTGGGGGAGCCGAGCAAACAACGCCCGATGCTGGACAGGTAGATGGCAGCCATTTATTAGTCACGCACACTCACAGCTCAGAGGACACACGTGCCTGCAGGAGTACTTGGGAACACAGTGAGTGAGCAGAGCCAGTGGGAAGCAGGCTTTGTGTCACCAGGGTATCACCACAGGAGGATGTGATTGGTTCGCTGGGACAGTTCCATGGGAGAAGCAGGAGCTGCATCTGGTCCGTTTGATGAGGCAGGCTGCTGAGAAGGTGACCTTTTCCGAGGGAGGACTGGGGAGAGGAGTTGTGTGAAGGCTTGTTAGGGCCTCCTGGTTCTCCTGGGTGCTGAGGCACTGTGTAACATGAGATCTTAATTTTAGGTCTTCTGCCACAAGGTGGAACACCTCATTGGTTCTGCTGACTGACCTTGGACTCTCCATTTGGTCCACTCCTGCTTCTGGCCTAAAGCTCAGCAAGTGACCTCATCCCCACCAGCTGGGACAGGAATATTCTGAAAATTAAGGTTCCCCAAAGCTTTTCCTCCTTTTTCTCTCACTGCTGATCTTTTCGTGACTTGCCAAGAGGAAGAGAAAAAAGACAATCAGTCCATTTGGCTGCATATTGGGGCAAACTTTTCATGAAGTGGGAAAGGCTGAAATGAATGTTTAAACCAGATCTATCACCACTCCTAGTTTCTTTCCCACATAGCAATCTGAGTTCTTTTAAAAATTAAATATGATTTTATCAGGCTCCTGCTTAAAACCCTTCATGGCTGTCCCTTGGATACAGTCAACTCTACCGTAGCCTACAAGTCCTTGTTTCATGCTGTACTCCCCATGCTATTTAGGGTACAGTCATATAGGTCTTCTTCAAATGCAGCAAACCTGCTATGCCTTTTCTGCCCTGGGACCTTTGCACATGCCAGTCTTTCTACCTAAAATGCTCCCTCCCATTCACCTCGTTAATAGTACTTATGTCAGCTTTTAGCTAAACTTTGTTCTTTCCTCAAGAAGGATTTTTATGATCTCCCCAAATACATTAGCGTCTTCTCTTACAGACTCTGAAATGATCATTTGCCTTCTTCATCATAACTCATCACAAATTGCAAATGTGCATTTGCTTGAATCATTTTATTCATGTCCATCTTTTTATATCCCCATAAGAGCAGCAGTCTTATCTGTCATTGGTCTCCAGTGACATTTTTATGAATATTTTATTAAGTGAATGTGAAAATGAATGTGTTAACTCTGATTTGGGGATATTCTGAAGGAAAAAAAAAACAGAAAAAGAAGGTTTAAATAAATAAGTTATCCATCATTTTTTTTTGAATTATCAAAACGATCAAGAATATCTGCATTACCAGTCTAGAATTTGGAAGGGTTTAAAAATGAGTCCCTTAAGAGAGTAAAGCCCAGCCATTATCAGTTCTATATAAAGTCAGCATGTCCACAGCAGGAAAGCAGACCTCCTCCCTCTGACACAGGATGAAGTGGGAAGTGGTGAAGGCTGTGCGTGTACCATAATAGAAGAATGCCCCCCACTTAAGGCAAATTAATGCCTACCTAATATGCACTCGGTTGCCTTTGGCAACAATACTGTATGTAATAGACTAAAAATAAAAATACTAATATGATCCCAGGTACTGTAGGAAGTTCAGACATTTCACAGTCCAGTAGCACATCATGTTGCACCCAGAGCATCCGTGGGGAAGATGAAGGAAAACAGAAGGATCCAGTGATTATTTGCTATTCCAAATTATGGCTCCATCTGGGGCCTCAGCAGAGTGATAGAAACACACCGCGAAGAAGGCACCAAAAATAAGGTAGAAAGAGTCAAAGGCCATCAGAATGGAAACCTGCAGTTGTTACATAGAATTCTTACATAGAATTCTTGGAGTAAAACATTTCAGTTCTTGGGCTGGGGTTTAGCTCAGTGACAGAGTGTTTGCCTAGTATGTGCAAATCCCCATCATTTAAAAAAAAAAGTATGAAGTTATATATAATTAACTTTACAAAAATATCCCTGAAAAGGTAGCAAAAAGGAAAATTCAATCTGGCACAATTAATTTGATTCCTGAGTTTAAAGCCAGATAAAGCCCTGGTTCAAAAAAAGTTTTTATTTATGCTATTTTGCATGAATACAGTAGAAAGCTGCTGGTTTTTCAAAAAATATCAAAATGTAAAGTCTTGGAGTATAAAAGCACTCACAGATCACCAGTCATAGTATTTCAATGCTATTCATAGTGGTTTCTAAACAATTCTTTGAAATAGTTGTTTAGAAATAAATAGCCAATGGTCATGACAAAACCGTGGAAAGGAAATCCTGAGACAGGCCCCAAACCTGACTATTTGTCTTCATATCCTTGGTGGTTGATGTATAGAAATGGTGACGTTTAGGGCGTGGGTTGCTTTGAAAGCAGCATCCCGGCTGCACTCATTCTGACTGATTGCAGAGTCTAGGATGTTAAGGCACAAAGGCAGCTTTTTCCAGTGATCGGACCATTGTGTTGGGTAGCACACAGCTGGATTTGATGGCTTCCCGGGCTGGGCTGGTGTGTTGCCTGATTTGGTCTGCAGCCTTCTTAGAACTGTCCAACAGAGACCTATACTCCCAAGGGGCTCCCTATGAACCTCAGAACCAGGGAAGGTGTGGACTGTGGCTGTGTTCCCAGGCATCTGTGGCTGTGTAACAAACAACCTAAAAATTTAGTGACTTGGGCTGGGGATGTGGCTCAAGCAGTAGCGCGCTTGCCTGTCAGCACCACATACAAACAAAGATGTTGTGTCTGCCGAAAACTAAAAAATAAAAATACTAAAAAATAAATATTAAAAAAAAATTTAGTGACTTAACACAGCAGCTTGGTTCTCTGGGTTGACTGGGCACTTCTCACGTGGGGGTTTCATGGAGTTTCAGGCACAGGTCTGTAGGGTCTGGAATCACCTGAAGGCTGCTTCTCACCCAGGCTTGGCGACTGGGCTTGTGTGGCATGAGCTGGGGACACTTTCCTCCCCCATGCGGCTGCTTGGGCTTCCAGCAGAGTGTTCTTAGGACAGTCAGATTCCATATGGGGCTGGCTTCCCCCTCAGCAAGAGTTCCAAGGGACAGGAAGTGGAAGCTGCCATACTCTTTTAAGACTGACATCTTGAAATTGACACAGCATCACGTCCACTATTTGATAAAGCCCCCAGAGCTTCCTAGACTCAAGGAGAGGAGACAGAAAGCTTGGATCTCGAGGGGTAAGTATCAAACAGTTTGTGGGCACCTTTAATCCTGGCTGGGTCCTCCACCTAGGACCCCAAGGGTTTATTGCTAGTTGGATATTATCCCCATCCAAAGCAAAGCTCTCTACACACTCACAACAGTCCACGTACACCATCTCAGTCTGTCCTCACAGTAGCTCTAAGATAGTAGGTTGTGTGACAAGGCGACTGAAATACAAATGTTAAAGGTCTACTGGTGTCACACAACTTCCTAAAGACAGAATGGAGACTTAGATCTGAATCACTGGTCTTTGGGGCCAGGTGGAGGTTGGTGGGTTGGTTGGTAGAGCAGTGCAGAGCAGTGGGAGAGGAAGGCACATTTCCCTCTGGCTGAAAATTTGGCCACAGATCTTTGCAGGTGACGCTCTAGGTGTTAGCAGCAGTGATGTTAATGTGACTGCTGCAGCCTTGTGCCGTCAGTAAGGACTCCTGAAACCACTGTATGGCCCTTCACTCTTGGGGAACTCTTTTCGGATCCGCCAGCGGCAGCAGCTGGGCAGGATGGCGAAGTCGGCCACATCCTGGGAGCCAAAGCGCCAGGTGGTGTAGCACCTATAGGCACAGTGCCGCAATCGGTCATTGGTGCCCTCTGTCTCCAGGGCCAGCAGGGGCTCCTGGTAGAGCAGGAGGAGCTGCAGGGCGTGTCTGGACAGCACCAGTTTCCCGAACAGCTGGGAGGTGGTGATGCAGGACCCCGGCTTCCTGCGGCAGCACAGCTCCTCTAGGCACCTGCGACTCTCGGGGAGCTGGGACGGGAGGCAGCTTCCGCACTGACACCAGCTCGGCCTGTCTCTGGATTTAGGAGTCGCCTCCTCACGAAGTGGCTGCATCTCCTCTGGTTGTCCAGGAATGGGGGGTGGGTCGTGCAGAGATAGGGGCAGCTTGGTCAGGTCTGTGAAGTCCATCGGGGGTCTCTGAAAAGTGAAGTTGCCATGCCCGTCAGCAGTGACAACGCCTGGGGTGCAGATTCTTTAATTTTACTAACTTATAAAATTATATTTAATAATTTATGTTTACCTAATTACTGTTCTTTCATATGAAAACAGGACCCTGTCAGTTTACCAGTCCCTGATGCCTAGGACAATGCTTAGCACACAGTGAACAGTAAATATCTGTTGGCTCATTCCCACTCTTTCCTGGACTTCAGATACTCTACTGTCAGATCCGTTTGTTATCCTCCAAGATAAGTTGCTGTAATTGCAGTGATAGAGCAACATGGAGGCTTTAGAAGTTGTAGAGCTGACAAACTGTGGTTCTGCACGCTGACACACAGCAGCTCTGCTTACTGACATTTAACCATAGAACCTTGCAGTTGCTAACAGGTACCTGTAAAAGATAACTGCAGTAGCAGAAGCAGGAAACAGAGCAGCGGGGAAAGAGCAATCCCCCTTTAGGGTTAGTGCAGTAGAAGTCCCTAAGCTTTGTGGGCTGAGTCCCTGGGCTGTTGACAAGCTTGTACTCATATAAGGAATGTAGATACACCTCCAATAGAACTGCACCAACCCCCTTGCCTTGATGTGCCCCAAACTTACTTATGTATTAAACTAAAAGCCCTGCTGTGCTTGGGCTCAGACTTGGGAATTATCCCTCTGGGCTGTGGTGCCACTAATAAAGTGTTGCTTCCAGATCTTGGTGTCCTGACCCTCACTTCCTACTACATTGCCATGTCTGTTATTTGTGACAAAGAAGGCCTGAATCAAGGACACTAAAACTGAGCAGTTCTTGTACATGAGTGTTAGCAGGAGCACTAGTCATGATGACTGACAGGTAGAAACAACCCTAGTATCCATCACCCCACGAGTGGACAAACATATGTTCTGTTCGTTCAGGTGTAGGATACATGCTATGAAAACATGCTAAGTGAAAGAAACCAGATGCAAAGCACCACAGAATGTATGATTCCATTCTCTCCAAATTTCTAGAATAGTCAAGTCAGTGGAGATAGAAAGTAGGTTAGTAGTTTCCAGAGGCAAACAGGAATGGGAAATGGGTATGGGAAGTAGCTGCTCAATGGAGGTGAGGTTTCCTTTTGGGTGATGAAAAGTTCTGCAGTAAGCTGGAGCGATGACTGCACAAAACTGGGACTGTGCTGCTTATCACTGAATCATACACTTTGAAGTGATCAAAATGTTTGATTTTATGTTATGTGTTTTACCACATACACAAAAGCAGTGAATAATTAGTTATTCACTTCCTACTCAGTCCCCACAAGGACATTACAAGAATGGAAAGAAATTGGCCAGACTCTCCATCAAATTGTGCTGTCAATACAAAGAATAGTATATCACATTCATATTGAGTTTATTTCAGGAATGCAAAGTTGGCTTAATATTTGAAAATCAGTGAGTGTAATTTACCACATCACAGATGGGGGAAAAACCCTCAGGGATCATTTCAAAAGAAGCAGAAAAAAAATTTATTCTAAAATTAAATATCCATTCATGATAAAAAAAAAATTTGTGGTGCTAAGGATGGAACCCAGGGCCTCCAAGTACTGTACCACTGAGCTGCTACATCCCCAGCCCTGTGACGAAAATTCTTAGCAAACTAGGCCCAGTAGGGAATTTTCTTACTTTGAAAGAGCATTCTCAAAAACCTTATCACAAATACTATAATGACTGTGAAATGGGAAGTGCCTTCTTCCTGAGACAGGGAATGAGACAAAAGGTTCCTGCTGTCACCATTTCTGTGTGGTACTGTATGCACCAGGAGTCCTGGCCAGTGCTGTAAACACCAGATGCTGGGTGTTTACAAGGAGCAAGGAGGGATCCTTCCCGTCAGCCTCCAGAGGGAGCAGGGCCCTGCCAACACCCTAATTTCAGACATCTTGCTTCCCGACTGCAGCAGAATCAATTTCTATTGTTTTAAGTACCCTAGTTTGTGGTAACTGGTTATTGCGACCCTAGGAAATGAATAAAGCTAGTGGAGATGCTTAGCCACCAGAACTGCTGGCGAGAATGTGAACCACCACTTTGGAGCACTGTTTGTTAGCGACTGCTGAAGCTGAACATACGTCTGCCTCGTGACTCAGCCTTCCACTCTTGGGCAGTCACCCTGCAGAGTGCCATATGTTCACCATGGCAGCATGATTGGCATTAACCCCAGCTAGAAATTACCTAAATGTCCACTGATAGAAGAATGGATACATTAAGTGGGATGTTTACTAAACAGAAATTAGAAGGGAGTGGGGTGGCGGGGGGGTGGGGTGGGGTGGGGCGCTGGGGTTGTGGCTCAGCGGTAGAGCGCTCGCCTTGCACGTGCAAGTCCCTGGGTTCAATCCTCAGCACCACATAAAAATAAATAAATAAATAAATAAAGATATTAAAAAAAATAGAAATCATACAATAGTGAGATCCAGGGGGGGCCCTGTGCGGGGTCATGGATAACTCACAAAAATAATGTTGAGTGAAAAGAGCCAGACATTGAACAGAGTAGATGCTGAGTACTTAACTATGTTTCAATTTTTATAAAATTCTGCAACAGGAAAAACTAATTTTTGAATACAGGATAATGACTATTTTTAAGGGAGGGTAGTAATTAGGTAGGGGCATAAAAGGGACTTCTGCTAGAAATATATATTTTTTAATGGGTAAAGGACCAATTTTTATTTATTTTTCCATATTTTTAATGGTACATAATGGTGGAATTCACTGTTACATATTCATATATGCAAACAGTATTACAATATAATTTGGCCAATATCATTCCCCAGCTGGGGACTGAGCCCAGGACCTTGTGCATACTAGCTAAGAGCTCTACAGCTTAACTATACCTCTAACTCAAGAATATTAAATTTTTTAACCTGGTGCTGGTTACATGAATAGGTTTAATTGTTAAAATTCATACAGATTTCTAGATGTGTTTATATTTAAAAGTAAATTTTCTTAAAAAAAAAAAAAGAAAAATAAAAGAAAAAGGACTAAATCTTTTAACTTACTGGGACTTCTTGGCCCTTGACATGTTGTAGACTTTTCCCAAGTAGCTGCTTGTCTATCATCCAAATGTGGGGTTCATCCACAAAGGACACATACTTTAATGTCTAGGAAAAGAAGGTTAAGAAGTTTACCCATTTATGTACAGAATTATCAAGAATTGCCTATCTAAAAAAAAAAAAGAATTGCCTATCTAAACATATTTAAAGGCAGCTGTTCCCATTTACCAAATGACAAACTGTTGAACATGCTAACCCCAAACTCTTGTTGAGCAAGAAGGAATGAGTTCTGAGTCTAGAGGCAAATCAGAATTGGAACCCCTTGCACCTTAACACTAAACTCAGCCCATCCACCTCCTACTGCCCAGCACTTAGCGTCCCTGAACACCAGGTAACATTCCTGTGTGGTGTTCTGTCAGGTGTGGCTACTGTAGATTCAGTATCTCCAGGAAGTTCTGATACTGCAACTTAAATTGTTTATATGTTTATGAAATTTCATATCATCTCAGATAATGAACTGTCAATTATTTTTTAGTTGCAAGAGTGAACTTGCATTTCAGTCGTGGACACATGTATAATGGACAATAAGTTGTGCACTCAGCTGCTGGAACAAGACAGCAGTATTCTTGGATGGGGGAAAAACAAAGGAACCCTCTTTCCTTTTGTTTTTAGGTACAAGATTTCTCTTTAGGGGGAAATCATGGAGTTGAATTTAGCAAACCTGCATCATAAAGTCCAGATTAACCAAATCAAATTATATAGCTGAGGCTGAAATCCCCTGCGTCTATACTCCAGTCCTAGGCTCTCTTCCAGAAGCATCCACTGTGACCACTTTCGTGTGTGCCATAGTACCTTTTTGTATATATACATATGTCCACACCCATATGTGATTATATGTTTGTATATGAAATAAACGTGTAATAAATATGAGGGAATACATGGAGAACATGTGGATTAGTTTATGTGTGTATCTGCTGTTTTTAACACATATATCATACCATACATATTGTTCTTCCATTTGCTTTTTTCCCCCTCTCAACTAAGTATCCTGTCTGCTCTTGCCAGTAGCTGTAACTTCGCAGATCAGGCATACGTTCTGAGGCCAGCCTGCCTAAGCTGGAATTTCCTGTCCACCACTCACTAGCTGTAGGACTTTGAGCAAATTCTCTGACCTTCCTGTGCCTTAGTTTCCTCACAAATACAAAGGGATAACTGTGATGCCTACCTTATAGGGTAGCTGTGAAGGTCAAATGGGCTAATGTATACCCAGCACTTATTAGTGCTATATAAATGTCTGCTGTTGTAACTGTCACCTCATTCTTTTAAGCATGTCCCTGGTATTACTTTGGGTTTATCATAGTCTCTTTCACTGTTCACCCTGTGGACACCTGGGTGGATGCTGTTTCTTTGTGGCTAATAATCATGTATTAATTATTAATAGCTGGGTCAAGGCTCATTCAAAACCAGCCATTGAGAGTATGGCAGAATCTGATCACAGTGATTAGGGCAACAACTGGTATGTGGCCACAAACAGTGCTGCAGTGGACACCTTGGGCACTCATGTGAGGGCTTCTCTGGGGTGGGGAGGAGGAAGTAGAAGTCCCCAGCTATAATGTATGTCTCATTTAAAAGTTACCAGTCACAGCCACGTTGTTCTCCAAAGTCACTATGCTATTTTGTGGGGACTGTACCAATTTAATAAATGACAAAATTGACAAATCCTGGACCATAAAAATTTATCTTCACCTCATAGCTTCTCTGTTTTTGTTCCTGTTCTTCCCTGGGACCCAAAGATTCATCAGAGAAATGGTCACTGGGGTAGTCCAGGGACTTACCACCACGGGATTAAACCTGTGATTTGGGCTGAATTGTTATGCATTCTTAGCCACCTAGAAGAACCTCTGGGGACCTTGGCATCCCCTAAACATGGCATGCCTCACCGGCTTTGGCTCCACGATGGACTCACACTTCTTCCTGTAGTAATACTCGTTGACCGCGCAGGGTTCACAGCACTTGCAACAGGGGTACACATGGGACCGGCAGAAGGTGCTCGAGTAAGTGTTGATGAGAAAGTCAATGAACACAGTGGCCTGGAGGGAACCCAGACAAGCACCAGGGTAGTGAAACTTCTTTTGGCCAAACCATTTTCTTAAAGTGTGGGAAAGAGAATCTCTTACCAAACCAAAGTAGGAGAGGGTGGATCCGACGTACACAACCAGCTGGATAATGTCAAATTTTCCTCCCTGGAAACAGAGTGAGGTTGTTACTCAGCTGAGATCCAGAGCTCTCTTGCTGTCACCTGCAGTAGTGGGTTCTAGATGCACCCGTGTGCTCACGCAGCAGAGTGCAGATGGGGAGTGTGATTCTGTTGTCCCGTTTCTGCTGTCCAGGCTCTGCCTGGACCATGGATGTTTTAAGCTAATACATTCAACCACTGTTGACCATACAAGTTGAGAATTTCAGACAAGCCTTCCCTAGAAGTAGTGTGAGGTGACTTCAGGAGCAGAAGGAAAGAAATGTCTGCAGAAACTCTGACTCTTCCTGGCAGTGTCCTTGTGGTCTTTTTTTAATAGCCTTTCATCCTCTCAGCTCTATCTTATTCTTGTGGTTCAAGAACCTATATTACATAAGCCATATGCTGGGGAGCAGGGTGCCGAGGTGACCTGCTGAGTCTTCATGTCCAGCACTCTCTGCCTCCTTCTTCTGGAGCCAGCACCTCAGTTTTCTGTTGGACAACCATTTCTCTCCATTTGGGCCCTCTCCTCTGGCTCCTAGGCTGGTCAAGGCTCATTCAAGACCAGCCATTGAGAGCATGGCAGAATCTGATCACAGTGATTAGGGCAGCAACTGGTATGTGGCCCATACTGAGCCAGTCAGAATCAATGTCTGCTGCTTGAATCCTTTCCTAAAACTCCTGGGAAAGTGTGTTCTTTTTTCCCTGAGGTTGCTAAACTAGTAAGACATCAGGACTACCTGACACCACCACGTAGAGATGGCCAGCCTGAGAACAATGCCCAGACAGGAGAACAGATTTAATAAGAGGCAAAGGGAGACAGATTCTTGAAGATCTTGTTTGAATACCTGGATCCAGCCATATCTGAAGCCTGCAATACCCCTGGACTTTCAGTTATATGAATAAAAACAAACCAAAACAAAGTTTCCCCTAAGGCCATTTGAGTTGGATTCTATTACTATAAACTGTTTTGTAGGGGTCCTTCCTTCCTTCATCCCTCCATCCCTCCCTCCCTTTTTCTTTTCCTCCTTCCCTTTCTCTCTCTCCCTTTCTCTCTTACCTTTGTTTCTTGTTGACTCTTAACAATTTTTTTCCCAGTCCCATTCTGTACCCTCCAGATGGCTCATCTGTGGATAGAACCCTAAGGACATTTCTTCCCCTTCTCTTATCCCACAAGCAAAATGCACAGCACTAGCTAATGGCTGTGACTCAAAAGGTTCACTCTCTGGAGCTACAACAGCAATAATTGGGACACAGTCATAGGATGAAGGTGCCCAGAGCTGGAAAAGACAGACTTACAGTGCCAAAAACCAGGATGTCAAAACGGATCCCAAAGACTTTTATCAAAGTCCGTTTCTCAACATTGTTTTCCTTATAGTACTTGGCGTATCTGCAGGAAAAAAAGAATCCATGTTTACAAAGATCTCTTTGAAAGTGCTGGAATTTTATGGAAAGAAAAACCAAACCAGTAGCCAATCCAATCTTCCTTGTGTGCCTTCTAGGTCTGATGCAACTGGCAGAGGGAAGAGCACAATTCAGAGAGAATTACACTCTCTGAATACCCAGACCACAGAGCACCCCTAGGTTACCTGCTCCGCTTCCATCACCTCAGAGTGACAGGAAATCGGCTTTTAATTGAAGATTAAAATGAACACATTTTTAACCAATTCAGGATTAGGAATAAGCTGAGAAATTAAAAAATAACTTCAAGCGATGTGATTATTGCTAAGAAAGAAAAATAGTTTTGGCTTCTAGAGAAAACATGGAGGAGGAGTGGTGGATTTTAGACACTCATTACTTGGATTGAGAACAGGTTTACTTCAGCACTCTGTCCTCCTGTATTTTCTTGGATTTTGTGTTTGTTTTTCTCATGCCCTCAGTCACCCAGGAAGGGTCAGCACAGCTGTTCCCAGCCCTGCCCACCTTTCCCAAGGAAGTCACCCGAGCATTTCTGTGCCTTGCTTCCCTTTGACCCCCTCTGGGTCAAAGCCTCCCCCAATTCCCTGTGTGGCATGGCCTGCTCCGCCTCTTGAGAAATGTAGTACTGAGTTCTTCTCTCAGCAGCATTGACCTTTCTACGTCATCACTCAGTCACCTTCATAAATTAGGGCCTGGCACAAATCACAGTCACTCCAAATGTGAAGCTCTCATTAGGGCTGTAGTCAGAAAAAGCACTAGGTTTTATTTTTTGTAAGTATTCAGGAACACTTAAATAAATGCCTCAGGAAACTTTTAAGTGTGTCCCTCCCTCTCACCACATTGTGCTGGTTATTTTTACATAAGGGTATGTATTTTCTTTCTGAATTATTAATTCACAATCTACTTACAGGTGTAGGGAGAGAAGAAAAACAGAAGACAGATGCTCTGCCAAAATAGAGTGCAAACACCTGAAACTTTATTTAGAGGTCTCAAAATCTGACGTCGAGACCAGTTAGGTATTCTCAGGCACTTACTTCAATGCCTGTTTCTGGCTGGAGGGGTTTCAGTTTCCTTGCATCTAATTGTGCCATTCCAAGACAGCTCTTCCTTCTCTATTGCGTGATTCATTTTTTTAATACTCAAGCTAAGTCTGAATCACCACTCCAGACCCCAGGGCTGGCATTAGGGCCCTATGCCTAAGACGTTAGCATCGTACAGTAGGTACTAGAATTTCTGCTTTCAGTGTCTTGGTGCAGTGGTTCTAAAACTGGGAGTGACAGTCATGTGGGAAGAATGTGGCCAAAAGGAAAACTCCTGGGCTTGAACCCCAAAGTGTGGTTTCAGAAGGTGCAAGATGTTTCCACACTGTGAGCATCACTGGGACTGGATGGGGTGCTGTTGTGCACATCGTAATGGGTGAATACTGGCTCAGTAGTGCCGGCCTGTAATCCCAGCTAGTCAGGAGACTGAGGCAGGAGGAATGTAAGTTCAAAGCCAGGATAGGCAATTTAGTGATACCCTGTCTCAAAAATAACAAGGGCTGGAACTGCAGCTCAGTGGTAAAGCACTTGCTTGGGATGTATGAGGTTTTGGGTTCAACCCCCAGCACTGGCCTTCCGCCCCCCACCCCCCACCCCCACCAAAAGTTCAAGTCCCAAACCTCAGGATCTATGTATATATATTATTTGGAAATAGGGTCTTTGCAGATGCAATTAAGTTAAGGATCTCAAAATGATATTATCCTGGATTTAAGGTAGGCCCTAAACCAATGTTTGGAGTCCTTATGAAATAAGTACATACAGATACAAAGGAGAAAACCATGTGGAGATGGAAGCAGAGCTTGAGGTGATGCAGTACAAGGTAAGGGAAGCCTGAGCCACCAGAAGCTATAAGAGGCAAAAAAGATTCTCCCCATGAGCTTTCAGAGGGATTATGGCCCCACTGACACCCGATTTCTGACTTCTGGTGTCTGTGAGAGAATATATGTTTATTGTTGTAAGCCTTCAAATTTGTGGCAATTTGTCATAGCAGCCACACAATACTAATACATACACAAATTGTTTTAGATCTGACAAGTGCGTCATGCATTCAGTGTGGGCCTGTCCTAGTTTATACTTTTTGAAAATCAGCTAAATCACATGTTCACTGAATATGGATATTTGACAGTGAATCTTTTTGTTGAATATAAAATTCTGCAATTTGTTTGACTTCTTTAACTTTCTGTTTTAGAAAGTTACATTTTCTCATAAATTTCATTTAACATGTAATTTCCTTCTCTTTTGTATGGCTATTTGAAAATAACTTTTCCTTTTACCCATCAGATCTCAACAATTTATTTTTGGCCAAAGATTTCTTTTGGTGCTCATTCCAGGCAACAAATGTGCTAACGCTTTGTTCTAAAAGAAAACCAATGTCATAACCCCCTTGGGGCTTCAGAAAGCTCACATCCCACCAGGAGCTGATGTTCTTAAGCTTAGCTCAGAGACTCGGAGGACATTTGCTGACGTCTGGTTGGTACATGGCTTTGCATGCTTCTGCTGACTGTGAAGAATACAGCCTGGAAGGGCAGCCAGGGGACCGATGATCCTGTCCTCTCTTCTCGCTAATTGCAATAAGCCCATTTAGCAGAGCAGCAGGGGATGATCCAAAAATTACCTAAACTAGGAGCTGTTTTCAGGGCCATGGCTGAAACTCCATTGACCCAGAGGAGGCAGAAAGCATTAGTCAACCTCTGAGAACTTGAACTCAAATGCCCACAGGGGCCATGAAGATAAGAGGCCAGAAGCACAAGGAGGCAGTGACATCCCCCAAAATATATGCACTTCCTAGAGGGACTGACACTCAGCTCCAGCCATGGCTGTCAGGTGAATATGGACTCAGGATTCACATTTTGTTTTCTTAAATAGTTTAATTTTTTAGGAAATGCAGGAAGTTTTCTATATTCTACAAATTTTAAAGTTTATGTAGTCTCAAGTTTTAAGATATTGCCAGGGGGCTCGGGATGTGGCTCAAGTGTTAGCGCGCTCGCCTGGTATGCTTGAGGCATTGGGTTCGATCCTCAACACCACATAAAAATAAAATAGAGATATTGTGTCCACCTAAAAAAAATTTAAAAATAAACATTAAAAAAAAAAGATACTGCCAGGCTAAAACAAGTACACCAAAGGTGTACGGTGAAACACCGTCAAGGGCTGCCTGCTGGTTCATGATGCTGCTTCGAATAAAATATGAAGTAATAAAATATTACTTGACCCCTCCAGAGTCAGCGAATATGCCAGGAGGGGGTTCAGAGGCAGTGAGGGGACGTGTGTGTACACATGTTTGCATATGCAGGTACAGATAAACTAGGCATCTTATTCATTTTCTCAAGAAGTTTGCACCCTAGCTCCAGAGCCAGAGCCAGAATGTCGTCAGGTGAAGCATCTAAGAAGAAAGTACATTTGGGATGCCAGATGATATTAGCAGCTCTCAAACCTTAATATGCACACGAATTTCCTAAGGATCTTCTTCAAGTGCAAATTTTCACTCATTGATTGGGTGAGGGGGGTCCCTGTGATGATCTTCAGAGCAACAAGCTCCCAACTGAGGCCCATGACACTGGTTCCAGGACCACACTTTGAGGACCCAGGGTCTAGATCAATGGTTCTCAAACTCAAATGAGCAGCAGATTCCTATGGAGACATGAAGATGCAGGTCACTGGGCACCACCCCTAGACTGTTTCTATAGATCAGGGTGGGCCTAAGAACGTGCATTTCTGAGTTCCATGGGATGCTGAGCCTGAGCCACACTTTTTGAGAGCTGATTCTTGAATGTTAACATGTTTTCCAAGTTGCTTCCCAGAACCTGAGTTCTCATCTGTACAGTTTGTCTTTGTAACTAGGAAAGCACAGTCCTCAAGAAAGGGAAAGATGCCATAGGGTCCTACCCACCCTGCTTGGAGGGGTCTTCCCTGGTCACTGTGCCCCATCACACTGTCCTGGTTGATTTTCTTGATGGCATTTATCATCAGAAATGGTCTAGTTGGATTAGTCCACCTGTTCTATCGAGACCTAATTTACATACAGGAAAATGCATAAGCCCTAAGGGTTCTGTTTAATGAGTTTTGACAAATGAGTTCAATCCCAGTACTGCCAAAAAAAAAAAAATCTTGACAAACAAGTGTCCCCTATAATCTGTATCCCTATCAAAATTCCATTATCCCAGAACATTCCCTTGTCCCATAAAACTCTCTTATATTCCTTTCAAGCCAAGTCCTACAGCTTGCAGCCCCCCAGCACAGCAACTGCTATTCTATCTTCTATCGTCATTGATGGAGTTTACCTTTTCTTCAGCTTCATCTAAATGACACAAAGTATGTGCTTATTTAGTCTAGTTTCTTTCACTCAATGTCGTTGGGACTGATTCATCCATATTGTAGCATGTACCAGTAGTTTGTTCCTTTTTTTTTTTTTTCTTGAAACAGGGTCTCACCTCACAGGCAGTGATAGGTCATGGAGACCATGTTAGGGCCAAGTTACTAACAGAGTTGTAGGGACCAGGCTGAAAAGATGATCCAGACAGGAGGTAAGATGGAAACTAAGTTAGGATGGCATTGGCTCACTACCAGGCAAGAGTCAGGAGCAGGGGCATCAGGAGCTGTGCAGAGGATCCAAACAGGCACAAGTCACACCATGGTGGCAGGAGGGCATGGGAGTGCAAAGGAACCAGACCATGGGTGAGTTCATAGGGTTGAAGTCCAGAAACCAGAGGCACACACCATGCCCTACAAAGAAACTTCAAAACACCACACATGAGGATTAGATGTGGCCCATGACATCAAGGCTTCAAAGTGTTCCCACCTAGCCTGGATGAGGCCCTGGATTCAGCCTCCATCACCATGCAAAAGGGACTTCTGATCAAGATGGAGGCCTGAGCTTACAATGGTTACACTTATGAATTTTTGACTTATGATGGTGTGAAAACCATATGTGTTCTGTAGAAACCATACTGGATTTTGGATTTGGATCTTGTTCTGGGCCAGTGAGACACTCTCAGTGCTGGGCCGTGGCATTGAGTCCCCATCACTGTCATGAGGGGAAACAACCTATAGTCTACTGTGTACGGCGTTTGTGTACTGTGTACTGTGTAGGCTCCTTGGTTGGTTAAGTACATATTCAATGCATTTTCAATCTATGATATTTTCAACTTACAATGGGTTTATCAGGACCCAACCCCGTTGTACACCAAGGAGCCAGCTGTACAAGAAGCCTCATCACCCTCCCCATACACATGAAAGTGCAAGATAAAATATCTGGGGTGCAGCTCAATGGTAGAAAACTTATCTAGCACATACAAGGACCTGGGTTCAATCTGCAGCACAGGAGAAATTAAAATACCAATCATTATGGTGCTTAAAACAAAAAAGGACACTTTTTCAGTTGCTCAACATGGTAGTGAGTGGGGATTGAAGTCATGTGACCCTTAGGAGCCGCTGAACCTGATCCAACTCCCAGGAGCTAGATTTGAACACAGTTAGAGGGAAGGGCACTGGAGCTGCTAAGGCTCTCACAGTAAGGGAGCAGGAATCTGATCTTTTAGTAGAGTGAAAAGATCTCAAGCCCAGATATTAAATTAAAAACTGGCTCACAGTTGATAATTGCCATGTAGTCCCAGCAGCAACAACTACAAAATGACAGTGATGGCTCCAGAGGAATGTCCTGAGGCCATCCCTGCTGAAGACAAGCCCCCAGCGAAGATCCCAAAATCCACAGGGAGAAATCCACCCAAGTTCCTTCAGAGGATAGGCCCATGTGAGAGGAATTAGACAACAGAATGAGCAAAAACAGTAATCCACAGTTAGGAATGGAACTCACTGAAGCAGGTGACTTTGAAAAAAATAAAATAAAAATCCTAGAACTAAAAATACAGCCATAGAAATTTTCAAAAATCTAAAAGTATATGATAAAAATGTTCACAACCTTTGATCCAAGTAATCTGCTTCTAGAAATTTACCTAAAGAGATAATCTGGAATTCAAATACAGATTTTTGTGCAAAGTTGTCCACGTAAAGTTATTTAAAATAAAAAGAGTAAAAATAGCCAAATGTTCAGTGATGGAGGAATGGGTGAGGAAGTCAGGAGATGAGAGGGAAGGAGCATTAGTTTGGAGATAAGGTGACCTGGCCTAGATGTATGGCTCTTAGTTGAGGGCACTGAGCAGATCATTTAACCTTTCCTGGCTTCCCCCCGCGGGGGAGGGGTGGGGAGGTGCTGGTGAGTGCCTGGTTTGTACAAGACCCTTCCTAAACTGCAGAAATGTTGTCAGTACACCCCACATGGAATGTTGTGATGATCGTCAGTGTAATGGCCACAAGGAATCTGAAGTGTCCTGGGTGTAAAAATAATTATAAGAATAACAAAATCTCACAGAATACCAAAGTATATGTGTGCTATGATGTCTTATGAGCCTCACAGAAGAATTGGTACAGACCAAGGAAAACTCACCCTTTTTCTGTTTCTCAACTTTGCGTTTGATTTACAAAGAATGTACTTCACACCCAGCTCTACTGGACTGACTACTAGGATGCAGCTCAGCCCCACCAGGAAGCTCCCTGGGGCCAGCTGCTGAGAGTCTGACCTGAAGCCCTGTTACCTGAAGTTGTAGCCAGGGTACAGGGACTCATTGGTGGTCTTGTCATCAAGGCGACGGAAACTGTATTTGGGTCGGCAGCGATGGGACCAGCTGTCCAGGTTGCAGTCCCAGTAGATCTCAATGCCCATGATCCCTCCCTGGGGGAGTCAACAAGAGGCAGTCTCTAAGTTGGCTGGAAGTAGGTTACGCAATCACCAGACATCTCCCTGCTCAGGGATCAGCGCTGCAGGAAAGGTTTTTTCTTTAAAGGGAAAATGCAGATTAAGGTTTCTGAGCCATGAAGGTGAGCTAGAATACCGGGGCAGTCCCAAAGGCGTCTCTCCCTGTTCTTCCTCTTATCCAGGACACGCCACCCTTAGACTTAGTCCTAAAATACAACTTTAAACAAACCTTTCCTGCACTCAAACACCTTTAATGACCCCCAGCCCCTATTAAAAATAAAGTTGAATCTGGGAACAGTGGCACAAGCCTGTAATCCCAGCCACTTGGGAGCCTGAGATAGGAAAATTTTATGTTTGAGGCCAGCCCTCAGCAATTTGGTGAGACCCTCAGAAACTTAGCAAGACACTGTCTTAAAATTTAAAAAAAAAAAATTAAAAAGGAATGTAGCTCCGTGGTAAAGTGCCCTGGGTTAAATCCCCAGTAAACCTCCCCCACCAAACAAAGCAAAACGAACTTGTCAAACTGGAATTCAGGGCACTTAACCAAATATCTCTTTTGCATTCTCTCTCCATGATCCCTAGAGGAAACTTCTGGCAGTGTGAGCAAATTAAGGTCTTGAGCTAGGGAGATAATCCTGGACCCCTGGGGCCTCATTTTATACATGCTCCCTCTCATGAAGATTAGTGTTTTGTGAAAGGAGAGGGAATAAGGAGCCAGCATGACCTCTGAAGCAAGGTGCCTCACTGCTGGCTCTGAAGATGGGGGCAGGGAGTAAGAACCAAGAAACACAAGGCAGGAAGCCCTAGAAGAGGGAAAGGCGAGGACGTGCTTCTCCCCAGAGCCTCCAGGGGGAGCATGGCCCTGCAGACACCTCCACTTCATATCAGTAAAAATAATTTTGGACTTCCCTCCAGAAAGAGAAGAAAGTGTGTGTTGTTTTAAGCCATCCAATTTGTGGTCATTTGTTACAGCAGCTACAGGAAGCTAACACCAAGCAGCTCCCTCCCAGCATTGAGTGTTAGATGACTGAAGTGATGTAGATGCAGCCCCTGGCAAATACACAATAAACTGAGCCATATTTTTTAGGCCCAGGGGTCTGAACTCTTGATATCTTTTTTTTTCCCGTTAACATTTTTTTTTTAAGTTGTAGATGGACACGATAACTCCATTTTAACCATGTATTCTCTATGTGGTGCTGAGGATCAAACCCAGCCCGCACAAGGTGAGCAGCCGGCACTGAGCCACAACCCCAAGCCCATCTCTTGACATCTTTCATCCTCTGACACCCATCTCCACTGAATAAAGACAAGTCCACCCACCTGGATTGCCACCTCCGAAAAATTATCTCCTGTTTCCTGGAAGATGTCTCCTAGCCGGAAAATGGGACATTGTGGATTTTGAGTCTTGTGAAAGGTACAACTGATGTTCAACCCTGGCAAGATGTTTCTCCTGTGCAAAATTGAAAGCAAACAGACATTTCTAGGAAACCGATCCATCTCATTGGAATGAGCCAGTGTGGCTGCCAGGCTCCACAGAGGGTTTCATGACCCCTGCTCCTGGGAACCCTGTGAAGTGCCCCACACACTGTATCAAGTTTGGGCTTTCTGACCAATAGCATATGGCAGAAGCCACTTCCGAAGACTGTGGCTTCCATCTTAGTTACTTGCTTTTTCACTTGGTCACACTCTCTCTCTCTCTCTCTCTCTCTCTCTTTTTTTTTTGGTACCAGGGATTGAACTCAGGGGCACTTGACCACCGAGCCACATCCCAGCCCTATTTGATTTTATTTAGAGACAGGGTCTCACTTAGTGCTTTGCCATGGCTGAGGCTGGCTTTGAACTTGAGATTCTCCTGACTCAGCCTCCAGAGCTGCTAGGATTACAGGTGTGCACCACCATGCCTAGCCACTACTTTCCTGAATTGCTTGCTAGCCACCATGTCCTAAGGAAACACATGTGATCCTAGGGTCAGATCCTCTTGGTAAGGAACAGAGGCCTGCTGTCAATAACCATATCAGTGAGCCTAGAAGGGAATCTTCAGCCCCAGTGGAGCCTAGAGATGACTGCAGCCTTGTGACAGACTGAATTTAACCAAGGAGACCAGGACCTGAACCAGATCCACCCAGCAAATACATTTTCAGATTCCTGATCCACAGAATGAGAGACAATAAGTATTTGTCATTTTAGAAGGTTTCTTTTTAAAATATTTTTAGTTGTAGATGGACACAATACCTTTATTTTATTTATGAATAAAGGATCGTGCTGAGGATCGAACCCAGTGCTTCACACATGCTAGGCAAGCACTCCATCACTGAGGTACAACTCTAGCCCTAGAATGTTTCTTTTTTACACAGCTGTAGGTAGGTAACTGCTATACCAGACATTCTGGGCACTTACGTGGTATAGTTGTGGCCAGGGAAGTCAATATTGTTCTTGATGAGCACAGTGAAGTTTTCAGCGCTGCTCAGAAGTGCAGGCCTGGGAGAGAGAAATAAGGATCAGTGACCACAGAGACAGGGGGCACCAGTGAGTCAGTGAGACCAGAGACTTCTGGTTTTCTGCTTTAGCCTTGGGGATGAGATAAGAAAAATGGATGCAGCAATCTAATAGAGAAAACCTTCCAAAATTCTCTATGAAGGCTAATTATGCTCAGCCCATCCCAAATTCAAGTTTGTGACATCCCTTTGGTAGTTGGAAACCAGCTATGGTAGGAGTATTTATAGCATGATAATCAGCAAATACATATCAGCCTTTTTTTTCTCCTTAGAGTGATAGATGTTAAACATTTACCAAAATACCACTGCACGTAACTAAATATACAATTATATCAGAGTGACAGAAGGGACACAGTTGCTATGGGGTCTCAAGAAGGAAGAAATTCTTAGAGAAACTGAAAGCCTTTAGACCAGGGCCACACAGACAGACAGCTGACTGCATTAGTCATTTCTTAGAGGCTGAGTAGTGTACAATTCTGTGAGTTAGAGGAAACCAAATTCCAGATGACAGGAAGCCACCCACCATCCTTTCATCCCTTCATTCAGCAAACGCTTTTGGTATTGGGCTTGGAACTGGGCAGTGGGATACAGTGATGAGCAGCTGTCAACATTTCTGCCCTTTTGCACTTGACAGTTTATGAAAGATGGAGAACACTAGCTGTGAATAGAAAGGCTCAGCTGGCACCCTGCTGCCAGCTGTGTCTGAGTAGCACAGGAAGGGGCAAAGGCAGGGCACCAAGAATGGCCTGCCTTTTACCCCAGGACCCAGTGTTGGTTGTGTGTGTGGGAGCTCTGTGTGCAAACCTCATCTTTTTGCCTGTCCAGCATCTACTCCCCTTTGGATGGTACAAGCTCAGTTTTCTCTCTTTGGAGAAGCCAGCTCTCCACTGCCATCCAGAAGGGTTCTGTGGGGATGATTACTTCCTGTCTATTCCTAGGGTTCTGCATGGGCATGTGACCCAGGGCTGGCTAAACAGTGTGGTCCGTTCCCCTTGGCCTTTGGGTTGGTTCAGAGATGGTCACATGATTTAAGCCAACGAGAACCATTTCTGGGAACAACTGGAAAAAAGAAACTCTTTTTTTGCTGGACTGTTAGTAATAAGGATAGTGTCAACTTGGAATTCCCTGGACCACAATGCAAGGAAAGTCAGAATTAAAGAAAGAATAACTAAGAGAGGGGTGGGAGAGGAAGGAAGCAGGAAAGAGAATCTCATTGACATCATTTGAAGCCTGGACCAAGCTTTGCCTGAAGCCAGGACCTCTGGATGTTTTTGATTTACTGGAATCAAAAACACAAGCCAGGGGCTGGGGTTGGGGCACAGTGGTAGAGTGCTCCCCTAGCAGTGCAAGACGCTGGGTTCTATCCTCAGCATCACATAAAAATAAACAAATAAAATAGAGGTATTGTGTCCAACTACAAATAAAAAATATTTTTTAAAAAAGCCAAAAAGTAACACTCCTTTTTTTTTCTTTCTGAAGTCAGTTAATTTGGATTTCTGTCATTTATATTGAAAAAAAAAAATTCTCAGGCATGGTGGTGCACAACTGGAATCCCAGCAATTTGGGAGGCTGAGGCAGGAAGATTGCAAGTTTGAGACTAGCCTCAGAAACTTAGTGAGTCCCTGTCTCAAAATTTAAAATGGGACCAGGGGCATAGTTCAGTGGCAGAGCACCCCTGGGTTCAATTCCCAGTACCGCAAAACAAAACCAAAAAAAGAAAAAAATCTTATTTACAACAAATGCCTGCTGTGTGCTAGACTCTTACCTGTAGAACATTCTAAACCTCACACTTCCTGAGTAGCACTCTTGACAATCAGAGGACTACAGGACCCAAAACTTTAAGGATCAAAGCTCTTCATTGCTTTCATGTGACATTTACAACATTCTATCTTGAATTACAGATCTCTGTGCATGTGTCTTATCTCTTCTATTAGACTGAAAGAGCCCTGGGACCTGCTCCATACCTGAACTTCTTGTGTTTCACATAAAACTTAGCAGTCATCATCACATGTGAAATATCTAGTGCCTACTACATGGTAATGGTGAATGGCAAGATGAACCATCTTGGCTAATTCATGTAGCACACCGGAAACTGGAGAGCTGTCAGATCAGCCTAGGGCCAGGCAGCTGGAGATGCATGCGGTATTTAGCTGATGAATGAGTTGGTGGCAGAGTCAGAATTGAAAGCCAGCGCTAAGCAAAGGGGCCCCTTGTCTTGAACTAAGAGTCACTTGGGTGTGGGAAGATGTCCCACCCACAGCTGGGCAGTTTCTTCTGTGACCAAGAAACTTCCCTGACCTAGAAATGAACCCAGTTTAACAACTGTGGGCCAGACAGGGCGTCCCTGCCTCGGCATTGGGGACCTTGGCCTGAGCCTTCTACACATCCCCTTAGGCAGTTTTTCCCTTGCCCCACACATGCTAGGAGAGTGGCCCTGAGCCACTTTGGTCTGGGTAGCTGCTAGGCATGTGTGCTATTTAAATTTAAATTTAATTAAAATCCAGTTGCTTACCTATCATAGCCACACTTCAAGTGGTGGCTACCACATCGGGCAGCATGGCTACTGCCTTCCCATCATTGCAGAAGTTCTACTGGACAGTGCTGGTCTGAAACTAGCACACTTCCCGGGTAGATCTTACGTGTGCGTGTGAGCATGTGGAAGCCAGGCATGGGGCTCACTTCACAATGCACAAGTATTGTTTCATTTAATCCTTACAAACACCTCATGAGGTAGGGGCAGTTATTATTCTCATTTCACAGATGAGGAGACTGCCACTCAGGAAGGTTAAGTCACTTGCCCAAGATCACACAGCAAAGGTGTACTAGAAGCAAGATTTGAATCCAGGTCTTTCTAACTATTCTCTGCTGAAATGCATCAGCCCTTGTGGTTTCTAAGATTTAATATCCCAACCTGTGTGTTAAAGAGAAATATCAATACAGGGAACCACCAAATCTGTATGTCAGGTGACTGTTTGAGAAGATTCCTTGCCTCCCCTCCCTTCTCTTTCTCTCCCTCCTCCCATTCCATTTCCTACCCTTACTCACTCAATATGAACACTGGTGTATCAGAACAAACGCTGCCGTGGCACTAGAGGAGGAGTCTGGAGGTGGCCCGGAAGGGTGCTCTGGGTAGTGGTAATGCACCAGCAGGTACGGAACTATTCTCCACATCAACAACAGCGCCAACTTCCCAGGGACAGTGGTTGGTGCCTAGAGTGCGCCTGGCCTGGGGACCCTGAGGCAGAAAGGCCCAGGGCTTTGCGGGCTGCTCTGGGAAAGAAAAGCCCAAGTACCCTGGCAAGGTGTCACCTGGCCACTGCTGAGGGCCACCTCGTCTGCTCCCCATCTGTGCAACTCACCGGGGGGGCTTCTCCTCCACCGCCTCGGTGGGACACCAGGCAGCAACTTCACAGGTCTTCTGGTTCCCTTTGTACACTATACACCTGCCAGTCTGGATCCCTGTGGGGTCGAGAGGTGAAGAGCCTCCGATGTGAATGGAGGACATTCTCCAGGGCAGGCATCATGGACACCACCCAAGCAGCAGCCTCCGCTCCTGTGGACCCATCCTCACCCCAAGACAAAGCAGATGAGCATGACACTGAACAGTAAGCCCTTTAGAAGGGACCAGGCACATCCATAGGGACAGGAAGCAGCTTGGTGGCTGCCAGGCACTGAGGGGAAGGAGTGGAGAGTAGCCACAAATGGGGATGCGATTTCTTCTTGGGGTGGAGTGTTCTGGAATCAGCTCAGCGAGATCTGGGTTCCGTTGGCCCTTTCGGCTTCTTTACGATGAAAGATGCCCGAGAGGGGAGCCGAGCAGCATCTCCTCTCGCCAGGCACAGTGGTCTAGCACTTGGCTCCCCAGGTGGGCATCTGAGTCCACCCACAGGGCACACGGCCTGCCAAGGGATGCGCAGAGCCATGGAATGAACATGGTGCACCTTCCCGAGCATGGGGAGGAGAGGGAGGATCCAGTGAGCGGCAAGCCACGGCAAGTGGCCAGATACCAACTCAGATACGGTGCACTATGGAACAGAAGCCACTTGCACACGCCTCTGGGGAGGGTGTGCATTATTACCACTGACAGTTTTCTTTTTAAATTATTTTTTGCAGTATTTTTTTGTTGCATTGTCTAATACCTTTTTAAGTTAAAGCATGAGATTCTTCAGTCAAGTATGGGTTTTCCCCCAAGTTCCTTGGGAGTTTAAGCTCCACCTTGGGGAATTTCAGGGAGAAAGTTCAGAATACTTAGATGATGTGATGGGCCAGGTGATTTTTCACCAATCACCTCCTGGCAGGCCAGGCTCGGAGGAACTTCTCTGGCTGGGAAATTGAGCCCAGTCCCTAGGCTGTAGCTGGTCAGCCTTGGAGAAGGCCAAGGCCTAGGACAGACACGGGTCCACCTGTGGCTTCGCGGTGGTGGAAGAAGGCTGTAAAGCCAGAGGCTGAGGACCTGAATGGGGCACTGTGAATGTCACCAAGGTGCCAGATCCCCTCCCACCCTGGACTCCAGGAGAAAACCCAGAAGGTACCTTTGCTTTGTGGGTCCATCCAGCCCTTTGTACAACCCCGGTCAGAGGAACAGAGTGTCCTGCGAGTGGGATTCTGCAGGGAGAAGGAAGGGGCGCTGTGTCATTGAGATATGGAGAAATCCGTGTCTGGCCACACAGAAACCCACACACAGTGCTCATGGTAGCACTGCCCACAAAGGCCAGAGAGCGTGAACAGGCCAAGTGACTGTCAGAGGTGAATGGACAAATGACATGTGGTACATTCCTTCGTGGACTGTCACTCAGCCGTAAGGAGTGAAACACCAACCCATGCTATGTCATGCATAAACCTTGAAAATGATGCTGATTGGAAGAAGCCAGACAGACACAAATGTCACAAACTATACAATTCCATTTCAGGAAATGTCGGAATAGGCACATCCATAGGGACAGGAAGCAGCTTGGTGGCTGCCAGGCACTGGGGGAAGGAGTGGAGACTGGCTGCAAATGAGCATGTTCTGGAATCCGTGATGATGGTTGTACAGTGTTGCTAAGAGAATAAAAAGTTGTTTCCTTTAAAGTGGTGGGCTTTATGGTACGTGAATTACGAGTCAATAAAAAATAAAAACAAATAAGAATGTAAATAGCAGATGTCAGAGCAGCCAGGGGGCCACCTTCAACAATGGCCCTGCAGGTGGAGAGCAGGTGGCCTGGCCCAGGTGGCTCTGTGGCTCAGAATTGAGCAACGCAGACAGGTGCCAAGATGCAGCAGGTGATGTGGAAACAGGGGTCATCAGCCAGCACTATCTCCTGGCCACGGAAAATGAGGTCAGTTGTGTCTCAGGGCTGAAGGACACAATCAGGAAGAGAAGCAAGATGGCTTGGTCTGGGCATATCTGACTCTACTCTCTGGGGAACAGATGCGCCAGCCAATCTGAGAGTGGCCAGAATGTGACACAAATGTGGAACAGCCTCTGCTCAAGGACCTCTGGGCAGTTTGTGGCTTCTTCAGAAATTGAAGGCAAAGACCCAGGTACATCTGGCTTCAGTGACAGCTGCTCCCTTTCTTGCTCCCTAAGCCTCAGTTACCTCATCTGTAAGGGGAGACAGATTTGTCTACGTAGTCACCATGAAGACTATTGAGTTATGCAAAGAAAGGCCTCAGCACAAAGTGCCGCTCAGTGAGCTTTGCTTGTGCTTTTCAAACTCTGCCACGTTTTCTTTTCTTCCTAGGCTGCCTTCTGTTACCCTCCAGGCCCCCAGCTTCTTCTCCTTTTGACCCCCCGCCACCATGAGGCTATGAACCCCTTCAAAGAGCCCTTGGACCACAAAGCCTGGTCATATCTTTGCCTGACACTTAGTAGGTCTGATGAACATGAAATAAATGAATGAATGATCAACCTCTGTGGCTCACGGACAGTTACATTTCCATTATGAACTGCAAGGAATTCTTAGGAAAGAAGATAAATTGATTCACTTTTATTTTCCAGAATAAACTGTAAAATTAAGAAAAAAGTTAGTTTTATTTTGTGAGTATTATGTGGATTAAAGATGGCCACAAATTCTCGGTCACCGTCTAGGTTGAGAGGTGGAGTATTCCCCTGCTCCCTCCGAAGCTGGGTGACCTGACTGCAGAACCAGCAGAAGCAGTACAAGTAACACAGTGCCAGCTCCAGCCTCAGGCTTCTAAGGGCCTGGAACCTTCTGCGTTTGGGCTTTAGGAACCCAGTGCTGCTGTTAAGTCACTATGCTGCTGGAGAGAGCATGTGGACAGACCCTCCAGAGAGGAAGAGGTGCCCAGCCATACCCTGGTGCCAGGAGAGCCTCCAAAGAAGGCCAGCACCAGCTGCTGGTGAGTGTAGCCCCTCGACAGACCCCAAGTGAGACCAGCAGAGGAACCGCTGGCTGAGCCCAGGCCACCGTGGAACTGTGAGAGTCACACAAGGCTTTGAGAAGCCCACCAAGTTCAGAGTGGTTTGAAGAGATAACTGGAACATTCACTCATATAGGACTCCATACACCCAGGGCTTGGCCACGATCCCTGGGATGACCAGAGATAGAGTAGGTGTCAACGTGCAAAGAGAGGAGGCGACTGTCCCATTACACTGACCCGAACCAGCTGGTTAAAATCCCAGAGAGCTTTTCTGGGGCTCTCTGGGCCAGCAGTGCCTCCCTGGAGCTGCTCAGAGTGACTTCCCATCTGCGGCAGAGGAACCCCTAAACCCTAACAGCTCCATTTAGAATGCCACAATGCACCGTCATGTCACAGGCGTCTGTCTGCTCACTTGTTTCAGCAACCTTGAGAGCAAGGTTCTGAACACACCAAGGCACAGAGAAGTGAAGTCGCCCATGCAGTCACCAGGCCAATAAGTCAAGCTGTGAACTGTTCACAGTCTGCATCGAGCCCGGGCTGTTCCCCCTGAGCTGTCCTTAACTTCTTGCAAGTCTCAGTGACATGAAAAGTGTCTTTGAAAACATGGGGTTAGAGTGTGACATAGAGGTGACCAGACTGAAGGGCAAAGGAGAACTAGGGCTCCCAATTGGCCTGGAGACTGGGTGCTGCTGGGAAGGGCGGAGGAAGGTGAGTTGACCCAGGCTGGCTTTGGCTGATTCCTCAGAGCAGGGTGCTCGCGGGGAGACGGGGAAACGAATGTCCAGAGGTCTCTGCAGGGGGCTACTCACTGACATAGACACCAAGGGTACGTCAGTGTGGTCCCAAGTTTGGGTACCACGGTGACAAAGACTGTACAAGGAGTAAGCATGTTCACTGGAACTTCCGGACACTCAGAAAACTAGGCCTCGTGACCAGAGGGATGGGTCAGGACCCGCATGGCCAGGCTGGTTCTTCTGCCCGTGGGCAGAGGGCCTGTGGAGATATGGCCACCATGGCTGCTTCCCTCAGTGTTGGGAATGGTCCCTGGTATAAGGCACAGGTGTGTCCCCAGAGAGGGGAGGAACAGGTAAGGCCTAGTGGTGATTCATGGGTACAGACAAACTTAAGAGAGCTAGCCTTTCATCCCGTTGGACAGAGCAGACTCTGACTGTGAAGTTGGAGAGAGGACATTTTCCAGAGGGAGGTAGGGGAAGGTCAAGAGCACAGAGGTGGGAAGATTGTGTGGGGTGGTGGGGGTGGGGAGGCCTGATACAGAAACGGAAACTCTTAAGAAGAGGGGGAAATGGGCCATCTCGAGCTGCTTGCCACTGTTCCCTGGGACCCACCCTGCAGACAGTTCATGGTGGACCTTGGCAGGAGAAGCTGTGGGCTCCAGTGACATGAAATCAGATTTGCAAATGCCAAGAATCATGTTGCTGAGATGCCCAGGAAGCTACCAAGGGAAAGAGCAGGTCTCCAGGCCACTGCAGCTGGAGGCAAGGGGAGACCTACAGTGCTTTTCCAACCTTCTTCCACCTACCGCCCTACCTCACCACCCACCTCACGGAGGCAGGTGCTCAGTAGACATCGGTGGGCTGAATACATCCTGGCTCATCCCCCTTTGTCTTCCCTCCCAGTCTCCTCCAGGAACTCTTATCACCCACCCCCACAGGTCCCCTCCTTACCTCAGGGCACAGCCGCTGCTCTTGGCCTTCTGTCTTAAGAAAGTTTGTCATCACAAAGAAGGAGTTCCCCTGCAGAGCAGAAGGAGGAGAGAAGGGAACAGAACAGCTCGATCACAATGACCCCGCCTGCTGCTGAGCTCCCGGCGCACCCCTCTAAGCTTCTAGAAACCAGGGTCCGTGGGCACATGGACTATGCCGGGGGCTTGATAGCAAAGCTGGAGGAGCCGTCCTGCTGGGCCGAGGGGGAGCAAGGGAACATTCAAACAGATTGAGCAGTCATTTCCAATCCAGCCTCAAAAGCGGCTCTTCATTTACTTGCCACCATAAAATCCCATTAAACCGAGACTCTGGAGACCTGGGGAGGCGGGGGCGGGGCGGGGGCGCAGCTGAGCAGGCTATTCAGTTCTCCAAGACTTTAATGAAAGGGCAACAGGGCATCCTGCCAGCTGGCCGATGGCTGGATTTTAACGACCCACTGTTAAGAAACAAGCAGATAGTGGCTTGGCCTTGATGGCTCCCGCAGCTGCAAACATGCCCTTTTGTTCCTCCTGTCCCCCATCTGTCCCTGGGCATCCCCACACCCCTCTGTAATTTCTCCTTTTTGGGAACTCTGCTTTCAGTCTCTCTGCTTGGTGGCCAAGACACTCCTGTACCTGTGCCCTGTGACCCATGCCTGCTCTTCTTTCTCACCTACATCCTTCTTTGGTGTCTAAAGGATATGAATGTTCCAAAAATGGCCTCCTGGAAGTCTTTTGGTGACAAAAGGCCACAGAGACAATGCAGAAAGGCTGGCACTCTCCAGGCGGCAATTTTTTTTTGCCCTGGAGAATGCAGGCAGACCTTGCTGCCTAGTGGCCCGGGTTCTGAAGAGCCGTGCAGGTGTCAGTATACACAGAGAGAGAGGGAATCAGACCGTGTTTGAAATGCACCAGGACACGCTGCTATTTTGAGAAACCCTACAGGACTTGATAGAGCAAAGAACTATCTTCTTTGAGCTGCTGGATCTGACCCAGTTTTTCAATTTTTAGGTTTTCTCAGTAGGGATTTTCACAGAGCTTTTAAAACAGGGCCAACGTTCATTTTTCTGGAGTGGGGCTGTAGGTCCCAGGGGAAGGGCGCGAGGCCCTGGTGATGGTTTCCAGGGATGCCGATGCTCACCTGCAAAGGGAAGGTGTAATCCGCAGTGTCGAAGATGCTCTGCACTGAGCGCTTCACCCCGTTCTCCACGACTTCTGCCGTCACCTCTGCTATCCCTTTCACCTTGGTGTGCACAGAGCTGATGACAGGCTCTTTCCGCTGGTACAGCTTGTCACTCACCAAAGCGAAACTAAGTGGCAGACACAGAAGGGTATCAGTGGCTTTCTCCAGGGGGGTCTGAGGCCATGATTTGGGATGCAGGCCCTGAAGGCCACATCCTTTCGAATGCTAGCCCTGCTTCTTGGTGACTCACTTTCCCTCTCTGCAAAATGGGAACAATAGTTAAACCTACCTCCTGGGATCACTGTGAGGCTCAAATGAGATAATGTGTGCAAACCCCCTGGTGTAGCATGTGCTGCATGGTGGGCCCTTGCTGCAGAAAACAGTGGCCCCCACCCCTTCTTCACTGTTACCTAGGATAGATCTGCATTAGTAGGACAGCTTCTCAGGTAATAACGTGCAGCTCCAGGTTGCTTCACCACCTTTGTCCTGGGCTCAGTAACACGTCAGCACCTTCCTATCTAAGTCTGTGTCTGGCAGGTCAGCAGCCTGACCTGCTTTCAGGAACCTACCTGCTTTATCAATAATGCTGATAATAGCAGATCCTCTTTACCAAGCACTTAGATATGCCAAGTTCTCTAAATGTATCAACTGTTTTGATTCTCACAGCAATAAGAGATAGTGACTGCAATCACCACTCTTTTGTTGGTGAGTAAATGGGCTCAGAGAGGTGAAGGAACTTGCCCAGGGTTACACAGCTCATGGCAGAACTGAGGTCCACCATTAGTCTACATTTTGCCAAGAGCCAACCATCCTACTGCGGGGGTGGGGGGTGGGGTGGAGGGAATAAGTGGAATTAATAATTAAAAATCGTAGGTTCTGACTGGTACCGTGGCACACACCTATAACCTGTAACTCCAGGCTGAAGCAGGAGGATTGCTAGTTTAAGGCCAGCCTGGGCAACTTATCAAGACCCTGTCTCAAAATAATAATTTTTTTAAAAAGGGCTAAGGATGTCCTTCAGTGGTGGAACCCCTGCCCAGCATGCCTAAGTCCTGGGTTTGATTCCCAGTGTTGCCAAGAAACAGATAGATTCTATCCCCATTTTTCTGTTTTCCATGTCTCTTGTTGTCCTGAATAATTAAGAGCTTATTTTAAATGCTTTGTTTACACATTCAGCATCTATTTATTTTGTCCCTCCTCTCTGCCCAGCCCCTGAGTGAAATTCTCAGGCCATAAGTCTAAGTCCAGGGTCGCCCTCTTTGAGCTGACCTTGGGAAGCCAAAGCACAGTAGACCACGACACGCTCCCAGCTGTTCTCAACCCGGCTGAGCAGTGAAGTCACCCAGGAGCTTTCAGAATCCCAGCTCCCCAGCCCTGTCCCTGGAGGTTGATTTAGACAGTCTGGGCAGTTAGTTAGACACTTGTGTCTTTCTTAAATGTTCCTCAGGAGACTATAACGCACAGCCATGGGCCAGACCTGCCAGGAGACTTCTGAAAAGACAGTCCATGCTTGGCAACAGCAAGTACATTTGGAAAAAGGCATTTTCTAGGGCCCAGCTATGGCACTCTTAGGTATCTGCCCCTGAGTAGCTGTCACACGTGGGTCCACGGAGCTACGTACAAGAATGTTCATGCAGCGTTGTGAGAGGAAAACTGGAAATAGCCTGAATGTTCTCAAACATCGAGTGGATAAATAAATTGTTGGATTCACGATGGGAGGCTCTGCAGTAGTGAAGAGTGAGCTGCCCAGAGCTGCCTGGTCAACGAGGAAGTAACACAATAATGCCGAGCAAACACAGCAAACTGCAGTATGGTCAAAAGCCTGAAGAAATCCAAAGCAATGCTGTGTACTCACAAATACTCAAACAGGAATGTCCATAGCAGTGCTATTCACAATAGCCACAAGGTAGAAATAACCCAAATGATGAATGGATAGACAAAATACGGTCTACAGATACAATAGAATACTCTGCAGCCATAAAAAAGAACGTAGTACTGATACATGCTAAAGTGTGGATAAACAATGTTCCACCTCAAGAACATTGTCTCCTAAGTGAAAGAAGCCAGACACAAAGGTCATCTCCTATGATTCAGTTTATACTCGAAACATTCAGAAAAGGTAAATCCACAGAGTAGACTGGTGCTTGCCAGAGGGGAGGGGAGTGAGAAATGAAGCGTAACACTTAATAAATATGATATTTCCTTTTAAGGCAATGAATGTATTTGGGTACTAGATAGAGGAGGTTGTTGTAAACATGGTGAATATACTAAATGCCATGGTCTTGTTCACTTTAACATGGTTAATTTTATGTTATATGAATTTTACCTCAAAAAAGAAGAGCTAAAAACTATATATTTTTACAGACATTGTCATGTCTGTAGAACTATCAAAACAAACAAAGGAATGCAAACAGCACATTCAGCATGATTTTATAAGGAGAGAGGAAAGAATGGGATGATGGATGGGTTTTCAGGGAGCACAACTGGGTTGGTAATGTTTTATTTCTTAGATCACATGGTGGCACATGAGAGCTACGTTATTCACAACATGTGCCAGAATTTCTATGACATTCATTTAGAGAGAAAAATTGTCAAGGGCTGGGGATGTAGCTCAATGGGAGAGTGCTCGCCTGACATGATCAAAGCCCTGGGTTCAATCCTTAGTACCACCAAAACTTAATAATGAGAAGAATGAAAGAAAAAGAAAGGAAGGAAGATATTGGGGGAAAATATGTTGGGCCTAGAGATCCAGACTTGGGACTAGTTAGCACACGTGACACAGATAACACTTGTTCAGTAACACATCTCCCCCAGCCCCAAAACACATACATGATAATGTAATGATGTGTTTTGAGTTGGACATTGCAATATTGTCCCAGAACAATACTGGGTCAGTTTGACCCACCACTGGGGGAGCTCAATTCTGATCTCTCTCTGTGTTCATTCCAGAATGTGCAACTTGTTCTAGATCAGCTTTAATAGAACCTAACAGTCTCATAATCAGAAACCTGTCTTTGTATCATGAGGAATGTGTAAATTTTAGGAATTAAAACATGCCAGAGCTTTATCAAAGAAAAAAGAGGGAACAAAAGAGAGTTTACAATATTCTGCCCTTTGGAAGGAATATACTCATGACCTCCCCAGCCGTATTCTCTTGCCCTTGCTTGGTTACTCAGATAAGCCATGTCACCTCTCTGGGCCTTGGGTTTGATCCCTGAGTGAGGGGATAACTTTGGGCTCACTAATCCCCATGTCCTTTCAGCTCTAAGAAGCTGTGGTTCCTTGTTCTCTGCAGCAGGCAAAGCCTCTGGTCCCTGGAACAAAGAGGGCATGAGGGACAGGGGATTTAATTGGGCCTGGAAGGATGGGTAAATGGATGTGGGGAGAGGAGAGCTGGGGAGAATCTGGCCGAGAAAGAAAGCTGACATGAGAAGAGCCAGGGCCATCCCAGGGGCTCCCATAGGCCATTCCTGCTGAAGAGGGGGACACTGAGTGACAGGCAGGGGGAGGTGAAGGGAGGTGGGCTGTGTGGCCCTTGGCTGGCTCACAGCCTGACTCACCATATGTAGATGCAGGTGCCCACCAGGAAGGTGTTCTTCAGGATCCCAACCCACACACTGTGGATATGAAGGACTCTCACGGACTTATACCCGCAGAGCTGGCCCCCGGACAGCATGGCGAGACAGTTCTCAGAGCTGGGCCGGTAAGAAGTGCCTCTCAGCAAAGTCTGTCTCTAGCTGAGAGAGCCTGGGCTTCCTGAGCAAAGGTAGCCCCAAAGTGAAAGGAGAGCCCTGAGCGTGAATTGCTTTCACATCTGTTTAACTCACGCCCAGCCCAGGGCCTGACCACTGCGCTCACTGTCTGCCCTCCACCCGTGTCACCAGGAACATTCACATAAGCATCTTCTCCATCTTCTCCCACCCAGGGCGCTAGCTCCTGAGGAGGAACATCTGGCCAAAGGCCGCACACATTTACATCTCCACTCCCTTGTCAGACCACAGAGAACCACTTCATGCTTCCACCAGCAAAGCAAGAGTGAGCACACCGCCTTTTTTTTTTAATATTTATTTTTTATTTGTAATTGGACACAATACCTTTATTTTATTTATTTTTATGTGGTGCTGAGGATTGAACCCAGGGCCTTGCACGTGCTAGGCAAGCGCTCTACCACTGAGCCCCAGCCCCAGCCCCAGCACACCACCTTTTAGGAGGGTCTTCACAAACTCGGTGGTGGCCACGTGGGCTTGGCCGAGAGGGTCAATGTTATGGTCTGAATTAATCAATACAATTAATAAGTTATAGATTAATAATATAGAGACTAATAAAATAGTAAGTGTAACCAATGACTCCATCTTTATGGTTCCCGTGTGAAACTGTTATATAAGCTGTTTTTAAGAATTATTTAAAAAACTGGTTTTCTGTGCTTCATATATCTGCAAATGCACTTGAACCCAGGATGTACAACCACAACTGGGCTTGAACCCAGGATGTGGTCGTCTGACTCTGCTCTGCTCACTGTTTTTTTTCAGCCCTTGAACCCTGCTTGCTTGCAATTTGCAGATTTATAGGATGTGCTATTCTTCCTTAAATATTGGAACCACAAACAGCCTGGTGCGCTTCTATCAGAAGGTCGTTTGGGCATGGCATAAGTGTCCCTCGCCAGGGAAATAGAGGTAAAATAAAATTCTTTGATTTGTTTCAAATTTTCTAAGTCTCCCCAGAACAGTCAAGGGTCTGGACAGTGGGGAGGTGCTGGCCTGAGGGCTCAGGGAGATTAGTGTGGCGGAGAGGAGAGTTGCAAGCAGCATAGAGCCATGTGGAGTGCAGAAGGAACACAGGACAGGGCTGGGACCAGAGGGGTCAGACTTAGAGCTGAAAGGACTAGGCTCCAAGTAAGAAAGGTCTATCAATCAGAGCAGCCTCAGAACAGAGCAAGCGTTCCTGTGATTGCTCATTGGTGACAATAAACATAACGATGATAATGAGGATGATTTCCACTTGTTCCATCAACTCCCCTCCTCTCCTGTTTCTTCACCATCTTCATTTAAATACCACATCTCATCTTAAAAATAAACCCTCGCTCAGTCCCGCACTCTTATACACTGCTCCATGCCTCTCTGCTCCCCTGTAGCCGAGTCTTTTGAAAGAGTGAGTCACCACATCCTTTTCCGCATCTCCATTCACTCCTCCACCCACTTTAGTCTGGCTCCCACATCCACCACTTCTCCAGGGCCTCCCTTGCCAAGTGATTTCCACTAAATCCAGCAGACACGCCGTGGGCCTGATCTTCCTGAGATGGTTGCACAACTCTAAGTGGCAGTGGACACCAGTGACCAGGTACCACTTCCCTCTTCTTCCCTTAACTTCCAAGAATCCACAGTCCCTTGACTTCTTTGATCTCTGTGGTTTCCATTCTCAAAATCCTCTGGGGACTTCTGTGCTCCCTACCCCTGAAGGTTAGTGCTGCTCGAGGTCTGTTCTAGGGCTCCTTGTTTCTCTTGCTGGCCAACTGCAGCTTCCTCTTGGGGTTCTACGTACCATCTGCATGCTGGCCATAGAGAGACCTGTATCTACAGCTCTGGACTCACGCGTCTAATACCATCAAAATAAGCCTGTACAGGTCCCAGAGGCACCTTGGACTGGGTGCCTTTGGTTTCTCAGCTCATCTTCTACCCCAAACTGGCTTCTTCCCCTGCATTTCCTATTCTGGGAAATTATTCCACCACCAAGCAGGAACATGGCACACTGCTGGACCCTCATGTCCCTCTTCCCCCTCATCTACTCAATTACAAATACTGTTCTAATCTTCCTAAAAGTTCTCTACTCTAGCTACCTTTCTCCTCTACCACTGTCACCTCCTCAGCCCAGGCACCCACCCACTCCCACCTGGGTGACCCAGGAGTCCCCTACACGGTGTCCCTCTCTATAGTTTTGCCCTGTCCCATTCCCTCTCCACACTGCTCTAGTGAGAGCAGGGACCTAGGTGAGGTGCTCAGGTCCAGTCCCGGCTCTACCTCTGATTAGCCAGGTGACCTTAGGCAAGGTATCTAAACCATCAGAGTCACTGTTCCTTCTAAAATAATAAAGAGAATTCTATTGGCAGGGTTTCTAGTTCTATATAATTGAATCCATTTTGCTGAGTTTAGGAAGAAAACGATCTAAAAAAGGCAAATCCATAGAGGCAGAGAATAAATCAGCGATTGCCTTGGGATGGGCAAATCCTGGGGGCAGGAGCAGGGAGTGGCTGGCAATGGGCATGAGGGATCCTCATGGGGTGACAAAATGTGTTGAAACTGAACTGTGGCCATGGTCACACAACCTGATAAAGTTACATAAAGTCACTAAAGTGCATACTTAAAATTTTGAGTGATCTCATAATATGTAAATTATACCTCAATAAAGTTGTGAAAAAATAAGGACAAAAACAGTTAGTTTAAAGGATGTTAGGCAGTTCACATAATCTCTGAGGGCTGAATCAGTTTTGCGCAGACACCACACAGCCTGGAACAATACCCAGGGAGCAGGCGCTGTTCTAGAAAAAGATTTCTGGCAGCCACAGCTCCACCCTTATGTGGGAACTCACAAACAGGGAGCAGCTCATGCCAATAGTGTTTGGGAATGGGTGCCAGATCGCAGCCACTGCCACTCCTTGCATGAGGATGCCATCAAGGTCACCTCCTATAGTATGCCACATATATGGCCACAAAGATATCAAGTCCTAACCCCTGGAATCTTATTAGGGAAAAGAGTCTTTGTAGATATGATTAACGGTTGAGCTTATCCTGGATTATCCAGGTGAACCCTAAATGCCATCACATGTGTCTTCATGAAAGGGACACACAGAGATATTTGATGTACACAGTAGGTCCTGTGGAAGAAAGAGCAGAGAGAGAATGGAAGACACTGGTCTTGAGGACTAGAATGATGTGGCCACAAGCCAAGGGACACCTGCATCCAGCAGAAGCTTAAAGAGGCCAGGAGCAGATTTTCCCTGAGAACTTGTAGAGGGATTATGGCCCTGCTGACATTTTGATTTCAGCCCAGTAATATTGGCATCCTGAACTGTGGAAGAATACATTTCTGTTGTTTTAAGAAACCAAGTTGGTACTTACTTGTTACAGCAACCTTAAGAAACTTATACCTGGGCAAGAGAACAAGCAGAGGTCCATACGCATGTACAGGCCCCAGAGGCACCTCGGAATGATGTTTAAACATTTGAAAGCCATAACAAACTTTAAAATAAAATGATTTTGCTCATTTATCCTGACAAATATACCTTCCTTACAACATGGAAGGCCAGATTCAAATTTAGAGTTCTTAGGCTCCTTAGAATTCTGTGTTAGAACATGGAAGTGCTGGTTAAAGAGGCTCCTGGTCCACAGCTCACACCTTCTCATCTCACTTCTGGCTCCTGCTGCACACTATGTGTATGACTCAGATCACACGCCCATACTCCCTCCATGCCTTCCACCTACAAGAATTGCCCACTGGCTACCCCTGGGCCTACAAGCAGGCTCATGGGCACTGTGGTGTGCTTTCAGGAGGCCAAATCTGGAAAGAGGCTCAGGGTCACTTAAGAAGAAAATTCTGGTGTCTTGGGTACCAGGACTATAGTGGGGTGGGTGGGCACATTCTGCCCCTGTGATGACAGAATTCTACAATGACCCCAGGATGTCCAGCATCTTGTGTGTATACCCTGCATGACCCCCAGAACCTTGGGCTATGATGGACATTCTCCTCCATGACTAGGTTATGTTACACGGTACAGCTGACCTTGGAACAGGAGGATCATCTTTCTGGGCCCAACACAATCACATGAGTTCTTTAAAAGCAGACAGTTTTCTTCACGTGGTTCCAGGAAAGCACGTGAAGCCCAAGAACGATTATTCCCACTGTCGAGGCTTGAGGACCAGGAGGGCCACATGGTGAGGAACAAAGATGGATTCAGGATCTGATAGCCAGCAAGAAAACAGGGCTCTCAGTCCTACAGCCTCAAGGAACTGAATTCTGCCAGCAGCCAAGGAGCTCTGATGTGGCTTTTTCCTCCATCTCCAGGCAAGAACTTAGGGCCCTGACATCTTGATTTCCACCTATGGGGCTGCTTTAGATTCTATTGTTCAGTAACATAGAAATTAATACAGCTTCACATGCCCCATAATCCACAGGGAAGCTCACTGTTGGAAGAGGAACAGAGCAGGACCTCTAAAGCCTGGGGTGCTGGAAAGAGGATCCCAGGTCAAAAGGCAATACTTTATGTTCTTAAATTTGAATTCTGCTCATACCTACCACTCCATGTTGTTCCCTACATACCTAAGTGCTGCATGGTACGTAGACTGGAAAAGCTTGGGTCTCATGCTACATCCTAGCTGCAAAGGAGGCTGGGAAATTCAGTTGCAACCTCTATTAGAGACAGAGCTCGGAAGGTGGGATTCCTCTGAACATAGTTCTGGTGTTCAAGTCATGATTGCTCACTTCAAGAATCAGTCTTATAGGATTATCTGCAAAGGTCAAATAGGCTAACCCACATCTCATGTTAAAAACAGAACCTGGCACATGCTAAGCACTCACAGTGCTCAGCAGGTATTATTACATCTGACACAGAATGATTCCTCTAATATGAAACAATAGGTATAAAACCCTTAATGTTTTTTTTTTTTTTATGTTTGAACATTTTCATAGAGAGATGTGGAGGTGCAGGGAGATGTCTCTCCATGCTCTCCCGATACCAGGGTGGAGCTCAAGGCTGTCTACACTCTGGCCCTCCTCCAGCACCCCTTAGACTCCCCTTTCAGGCACTATATTCTCTGGCCAGATGACATCCATGTGGTTCATAATCCTCTTCTCAGGCTGTGCTAATGGCCTAGGAAGGCTGAAAGGGTCCATCCCTAGGTGGGAGGCAGGGTTGCTACCATCCCCAGAAACCTGTCCACCCAGAAGCCTCTGCCACCGAATAGCAAAATAGGAAAAGTCCCCCAGGCAGCTTTTCCTAAAAGTCATTCACTTGAAAGGCCCTCACTTGCCAGGCACAGGGGTGCGTGCCTGTAATCCCAGCTACTCAGAA